ACATGCCCATGAAATATTTGGCGATTATTTCCAGACACCCTCAGTTTAGTCCGCTTTATACCTTTATATGACAGTTTTATCTTTTTTACTTATCAAACACCCTGTACACACACACACACACACACACACACACACACACACACACACACACACACACACACACACACACACACACACAGTGTGTGTGTGTGTGTGTGTGTGTGTGTGTGTGTGTGTGTGTGTGTGTGTGTGTGTGCGCGTGTGTGTGTGTGCGTGTATATACAGAATGTCTGGAAAATAATCGCCAAATATTTCATGGGCAGATAGAGAGGACTAAACTGAGTCGAAAAGTCCTCTATCATTTCGCAATAGTTAACAAGATATTAATTACTAAAAATTGCCAAATATTGGTCTTGAATAATTTTTTACTCAAATACTATCGACTTTACAGAAAAACTGCAAGAGATAAAAATTTATTTTCTTCTCAGATCTGAGAATTTTTTCAGAATTTTTTCAGAATTTTTTGATACCGTATTTTCTCGTGCTGGCAAAAAAAAAAGAAAATGCAGTACTAAAAAGTTGATAAAAAATTCTGAAAAAATTCTTAGAACTTTATGAGAAGAAAATAAATGATTTTTGTCTCTCTTGCAGCTTTTCTATAAAGTTGATAATATTTGAGTAAAAAATTATTCAAGACCAATATTTGGCAATTTTTAGTAATTAAAGTTTGTTAACTATTACGAAAATTGCAAAATGGTAGAGGACTTTTCGACTCAGTCCTTTCTACCTGCCCATGAAATATTTGGCGATTATTTCCAGACAACTTATATATATATATATATGCAACATACTTAACTAACACCCTATATATATATAGGGTGTTAGTTAAATATGTTGCATCAACAGAGCGATTCTTTAATTTATTTCAAATCCATATAAACATGAGTCCTAAACGGCTTAGTTTCCGAAATACAGGTGAATGTTCACAAATATTTGACGAAACGGTAAATTGCATTGGAAATATTTTCCTGCATAAATATGCCTTGCTTCACGTGAATTACCATTCGCACAATTGTAAACAAAGTGACAAAGTCAAAGTCAAAGTAAAAGTCACAAAATCAAAAACAGACTTCAGTTTTTATGTTGTTGCGGATATCAGTTAGCTTGTACATACGTTTTCAGTCCATCAAAATCGGTTTCATTATGCCTAAGTTTACAAATTTTGAAAGGCAGATATTCACTCTGCCTATGGTCTTGCAAATGGTAATTCACGTGAGGTAAGGCGTATTTATGCAGAAAGATATCTCCAACGCAGTTTACCATGTAAAACATTTGAGAATATTCACCGCTATTTTCGAGAAAAGAGTTTTTTCTTAAGGAATAACCTGTTTTTGTTTTTCTATTTTTTATGAGTTTTTGACTAGTTCAAGCTGTATTTCTTCCAAATAAACAGATTATTATTACACGTTTAAATTTTTTTAATTTGAAAACTAAACTGGACACATTTTTATATTGGCACTTGCCTCATTTCCCGCGCGCCAATCTATCGACAGCGGATATTCGGCGCTTGAAAAATAATATTGGGTCATCTAAAAACCGCGGATACTTTTTAGATGACCCAATATTTCGATTGCGAAAATTGGGAAATGATCAAGAACTGTTGGAAAAAACTCAGTTCATTCTGAAGCGTGCACATGTACTTACAAAAAAATGTTACGTAAATATTACTTGTTTCAAGTAAATAATAAGAGTATTTTAAAATTATATTATTAAGAAAATATTCTTTGTAATGATATAATCGTTACTCAAAAGAAGAAGAATAAAAATTGCATTCTCTTTTAGTACTAGAATGATATTTTTCTGCATTTTTCTACACTATTGTTCATGGAAGTTCGGACAACCGTATAAATTTTATCGAATGATTATTTTAAAAATTTAGACTTTATAAAACAGCAATTGTATTATTTTTGAAATATATTTTGAATCGCTTGTATATGCAACACATACTAACAATTGCAAAAGCTTTATAAATTAAGTTTTAATTTTGTATGTCAAAAAGTATTGTCTTTACTTCGTATAACATTGATATTATAATTAATAAATTTCAAAAATTCGATCAGAGAACACAAATATGGGCTCACGCTATGGTGTATGTTGTCAGCCCATAAGTAGGAGATAGCAAAAGCTTTATAAAATATTTTTAATTCAATTTTGGTACATAAAATTAAAAATAATTTATAAAACTTTTGCAATTGCTAGTATGTGTACAAGTGATTTAAAATATATTTCAAAAATAATACAATTGCTGTTTTATGTCTTAATTTTTTATATCATCATTCGATGAAATTTATATAGATGTTTGAACTTTTATGAGCAGTAGTGTAGAAAAATGCAGAAAAATATCATTCTAATACTAAGAGAGAACGCAATTTTTATTCTTTTTTTTTGAGTAACGATTATATCATTACAAAGAATATTTTCTTGATAATATAATTTTAAAATACTCTTATTATTTACTTGAAACAAGTAATATAATATTAACAATATAACTAATCTGTGCTTCGCGGGTTTTCTCCATGTCTTGGTCCATTCTTGATGTGCCAACGTTTCGTGGGCCTTGCAGTCCACTTCATCAGGGCGAGGAGCAGCCTGATACTGAGTCAGGTCATTATGATGCAGG